ACTCCCACACACACACACACACACACACACACACACACACACACTATGTATGTATGTATGTATGTATGTATGTATTAAATCCAAGCTATGTGGCCCACACCTTTAATTCTAGCACTTAGAAGCAGAGGCGGGAGGATCTCTATAAGTTTGAGGCTTACTACTTAGTGAGTTCCAAGCAACATAGGAAAACCTTGTCTCAAAACAAACAATACTTTTAAAGCTTCAAAATTAAGAGGTGTGCTATGGAGGTGGCTCAGTGGTAGAGCCCCCAGTGAGGGGCAGTGGGTGTGGCTCAGTGGTAGAGCCCCTGCCTGGAATCCCCCAGTGAGGGGCTGGGGGGCGTGGCTCAGTAGTAGAGCCCCTGCCTGGAATCCCCCAGTGAGGGGCTGGGGGTATGGCTCAAGGATACAGCTCTTGCCTGGTATGCACAGGGAGGGTCCTGAATTCAATCCTCAGTATAGCAAAAACCAAACAAAAACTCATTTTGAGTTCAGTGACATCTGCAAAAGATAATAATAATTAATGACCATTGCCGGATCTTAGCTCTTTTGCTCTATTTCCCACAGTTTGGGAAACGTGCATTAACTGACATGCAAACAGGAACAGATTCCAGCAAACGAATACCGACGGGAAAGAGTGCACACTTATCGTTTCATTCATGGGCAAAGCTTAAGAACCACGCACTCATATATATTTAGGATTAGAGGGTATGGAGAGCTCAGTCGGTAGAGCATGAGACTCTTAATCTCAGGGTCGTGGGTTAGAGCCTCACTTCTCGTGCCAGTTATTGCAGTGAAGAACTAATACGCAGTCCATAAGGTGAGGATAACTTTTTATAGGTAAATAAATGCCAACCAATAGGAAGCCAGAGCGTGCCAAAGCAGCAAGGAAAAGAGAACTCCCATGTGCCTTGTCTGTCCCTTTAAACCTTTACCACGTCACCCTGACATCACCTTGACCACACCCTGACAGGCGTGGTCAGGCACACCTGTAGCCAGCCCTTAGGAGGCGTGGTTATGGTGTCTCCCTACAATGTGTATGTGCGCATGTGCTTAAGAGTATATGACACCATGCACATATGTGGAAGACATAATTTTTTTGTAGAACTTGCGGGCCTTGTACTCATAGTGATCCATCTGCTTCTGCCTTCCCAGTGCTGAAATTAAAGGCGTATGCTACCATGCCTGGCATGCTTTCCTTAGACAGACAGACAGATAGACAGACAGGCAGACAGACGATAAATATAGATAGGTAGGTAGAGTATTGTTTAGATAGATACATGATAGATAGATAATGATATAGTCAGAGGACAACTCCTTTTTTAGGATTTATTTTTATTTTTAAATTATGAGTAGTATCTGCAGTTGATTTTAGCCAAAAGGCTGAGAAGCCGTTTGTGTAGTATCCGTATTTCTATGTGTCTGTATACCCTGTCCTCAAAAGAGGGCAAGAGATCCCCTGGAACTGGCGTTACAGACAGTGGTAAGACGCCATGTGGGTGCTGGGAACTGAACTCAGGACCTCTGGAAGGGCAACCAGTGCTCTTAACCCCCGAGCCATCTCTCCAGCCCTCAGAGGACAACTTTTGAGAGTTGGTTCTTCCCCTCAGGCCATCAGCCTTGGCAGCTGACCCAGGACTCATGCTCTGTCTTCAAAACCTATTACAAAACAACAGAAATCAAAACAATTGGGTGCTGGCACAAGGCAAACATAGGCAATATTTCCTTCCTCTAGTTTATTCCAGAATATTCTATGGGCTAGAACAGAAATCCAAGACAGAAGTCCTCTTACATATGGCCAGACCTTTAAAAATATTTACTTTTATTTTGTGTATATGAATGCTTAGCCTGCACATATGTATGTGTGCCGTGTGCACACTTGGTGCCCGAAGAGGCCAAAGAGGGAGCTGGATCCCTGGGGACTGCAGCTGCCATGTGTGACTGAGAACCAGATCAAGGTCCTACGTAAGAGCAGCAAAGTCTCCAAAGTGCCAGGCGTCTCTCCAACCTGGCCAGACGCTTTTTGATAAAGAAGTAAAGACTGCTTGATGTTGGGTGAGCCCCTCTCAGACTGCTGACCTCAGAGAAACCAGATATCACACATGGAAGAATCAAAGTGGACTTCACCGGAAATACTAAACGAACTTGAAATCAAAGCTACAATGTATCAGAGGCCGAAACTTAAGACCACAGAAGAAAAGAGAGGATACAATTATTGATTTAGCTATGGCTTCTTAGATTGGGTAATAAAAGAAATAGGCCCAGCAAGATGACTGGGTAAGATTCCAGAAACCAAGGCTGACAATCTGAGTTTGAGCCCCCCGACCCACATAATGGAAGGAGAAAGCCCATTCCCAAAGGTTTTTCTTTTAACTCCACTCACACACTGTGGCATGGCATTCTTTGCACACAAAATAAATAATTAAAATTAATCCAGCACTGGGGAGGCAGAGGCAGATGGATCTCCATGAATTTGAGGCCAGTCTGGTCTACAGAGTGAGTTCTAAGACAGCCAGGACTACACAGAGAAACCCTGTCTTGAAAAAAAAAAAAGTGGACAAAATTGAACTTCATAAAAATGGAAAACTAAGGTGGCCTGGTGTAACACACCTATAATACCACACTTGGGAGGACGAGGTAAGAGAATCAGGAGTTTGATTCCCAGAATCATTGTTAGGTGTCTTACAAACCACCTGTAACTACAGCTCCAGGGAGTGAGACGCCCTCTGCTGGCCTCCCCAGGCACCTGCGTGCACATTGCGTACAAACACATGCACATATGATGTAATTATAGTATCAAAAGATAAATGATTTCTTAAAATAAAATAAATCCCCAAAAATAAAAATAGAAGGGCAAAGAAAAAACAGCAAGAATAGCTGATGGTGGAAGTGCTTCTGTGTATGTGTCTGTCTTATTGGATGATAAATAAAGTACTGTTTGGCCAATGAGGCAGCAAGTTAGGTGGGACTAAGATTCAAGGAGGATTCTGGGAAATGTAGTAGAGATCCAGGCAGGAAGTGATATAGCAGGCAGACTCATATATAAGCAAGGGCAAGAAGGAAGTCGTTCCCTTTTCTCCCTGCTCTCTGCTCTGGAGTTGCCGTATGATCTGCTGGCAAGAGAGGGCGCCAGTGGAAGGCGTCCTCTATAAGTCTTATAAAATATATAGATTTATTATAATTAAAACTGAGCTAGCAGGTGAGAAATCCTAGTCATTGGTCAAGCAGTATTTGTACCTAATATAAGTTTCTCTGTGTTACTTGGGACCCTAACGTAGCGGCAGGTGGAACTTGGGTGGCCTGGCAGATAGCGCCCATGTTGCAGCAGGGCTCAGGCGGCTTGGAGTAAAGACTTATCATAACAAATAGCTGTCAAGAAGGTAGAGAAAATGCAAATTAATGAAGAGATGGAAAATGGCTTGAGGGCCATGAAACAGTATGGAAGTCTCTCAGAAGTGAATTCAGCATAACACCGTGATCTAGCAATGCTTTTTCAGTCCCAAAAGAATCAAAACTAAAGACACAGAGAGCTATGCTCAACCCGGTATTTCTCAAAGTGTAGGCACAGCTGTGTACCAGAAAATGGGTAAGCAAAGGAGGTGTAAATAATATAATGAGACCTGGGGGCGGGGCATGTGTACATGACGTACACGTGGAGGCCAGAGATCAACTTCAGGGATCTTTCTGCCACCACTCTCCACATTTTCTTTTGTTTGGTTTTTTTTTTCTTTTTTTTCAAGATTGGGTTTCTCTATGTATTCCTAGGCATCCTGGAACTCGATCTGGAGACCAGGCTGGCCTCGAACTCAGAGATCACCTGCCTCTGCCTCCAGAGTGCTAGGATTAAAGGCATGCACCACCATGCCTGGTCCATACATATTTTTTAGAGTGGCTAAGATAGACTTTTTTATTTTATGTGTACTTTTACCACAATAAATATATTTTGGGTTGCTAGGTGGTGCCCGAGGCTCGCACATGTTTGGTAAAAGTTTTACCACTGAGCGTCATCTCCTGCGCTTGCTGTTTGAGACAGGACCTCACTCTGTAGCTCAGGCTGAGCTGGAACTCTCAGTCCTCCTGTGGCAGCCTCCCAGTCACAGTTCTGAGGTATAGGCATGTGTCTCCGTGTTGGGTATTATGACATTTCAGAGGAGGGACAGCCATGTAACTAAATAGAACAAATGGGTTTTGAATACGTGAGATTGGTGAAGACAGGAGACCAGCCTATTAATGAAGCAAGTAAAGAGTTTGTGCTATTTCCCTAAATCTCCACCAGGGGACAGTACTAGCGCGTTTGAAAAGACCTGATGTAGCTTGGGCTTTGTGGCTCCAGCAGATAGATGCACATTGAGTTATGGAAGTTCGGGTTAGATCTAGACTGAGAGCAAACCTGGTCAGGGGGTGTCTTCTGTAGGTAAACAGTTCCTGAGCCCCAATATTAAGGTTCAAAGGCTGTGCTGGCATTGAGGCAGGGTTCCAAGTGAGAAGGACCTTCTTGAAACTAATGTATAAAATCAAGTACAAGAGTAAGGCTGGCAGGAGCTGAGGCTGGTGAGCTGGCAGAAGAAACAGCAAGAAGACCTGTCATATCCCAGGGTTTATGTGCTAGCCAGTTATGAAACCGGTTTTGCAGCCGAATAGTTGTGGTGCACACCTTTAATCCCAGCACTCGGGAGGCAGAGGCAGGCGATCCCTGTGACACTGAGGCCAACCTTGTCTACAGAGTGAGTTCCAGGACAGCCAGGATTGTTACACAGAGAAACC